CGCGTTATTTTTATTATAGGATCGTTATTTATTTATTTTTTTATTTTTTTTTTTTTTTTTTTTTTTTTTTTTTTTTTTTTGTTGTATTTGTTTTATGCGATGACGTCCTCGAAAAACCTCACCGCTACCGACGTTCTTATATCCTCCACCCCATCGTAATTTTAAATTTCACTTTTTCCACACGTCTCTTGAAATTTTAAACATTTTAAATCCGGAGTGTATTATTTTTACTGTCTTTGCTTTTTTCTCCAATACTCGGCGCCAACCTAACTTAAACGGCTGATTCAATTGAGACGCCGTTATAATATTGTGAATTACATAAAACTCTCGTAAATAACACGGATGCAGGCCTATGTAACGGGAGCAGAATAAATAAATTAAAACGATTCGCTCGTTATTTAGTCGTTTTCTCCGTCCGATTAATACACGGTCGCGTGTCTATATTGTTTGTTATTTAAACATTTATATATATACGTATATTATACTAAAAAGAGTTGGATATTTAAATATAACTACCAGACTCATCGAAATCCGAGTTCAAACCGTACAAGTATAAGTAACTCGCCTGGATTCCTTTCAAAAATGTTCGATCACCGATATTTTTCGATTGGTCTTCGATCGGTCAACTACGGGGTGTGTTTAAAAAATTCCAGTGTAACCGTGGAAATTTATTGCCCCGATAACATTCTACTACGGAAATTTGGTCGGAGAGAGTAAAATTTCATCAGTGATTTATTAACTCCCTCGGATATCACCGGAGTCAATCAATATAATCCCAGGTACGCCCGGGCTGTTTAGATTTCTCAGAGCGTAAAATCTGTATAGTTTTTCAATAATCTTACTTTTTTCGATGTAACCAAATGCGGAATATTATTATGGTTCACATGAATCACTCGTTTAGCGATTCCACGATGAATCCAAAATAATAGTGATTTTACGAGTTTCTGATGGGTTTAAGAGGAATTCGTCTTCGGTTTTATTGATGACAAAATCTGTTTTAGCTGAAAAATGAAAAAAAAAAAAATATTCATTCAGTTCGTCATGTGCCTTCATGATATATATTGACCAACGATCACCTTCGGCTTTTCTTTTCCAATTTCTACGTGGTCCTTTAACCTAACCACCAACAATCGAACTTCAATAAACTATCGTGGCGCGTAGCATATAACCCATTACAATAAGTAACATTGTTAAACTATCCCTTCGATTTATTACGGTTTGCCAGCTGTCTTTTTTATCCGGTTAATATTTGTCTAGACAATTTTGCGTTCTGTCGACATCTCGAGCATCACACGTTAAATACACAGCTTATATAGCTTACACTTGTCGATTATGTTTGCCGTCCTGCAAGTGTCACACTCGTACGTCTGATTGAAATCGTTATTCTTATCCAATATTATTAATTGTCCAATAATTGTATTTAATGGCTTTTTTTTTTTTTTTTTGTTTGTTTGTTTCAGGTGAGTTTTAATCTAAGAAAATGGTTCACTAAAACATATTAACAAGTGTACGTAACCGCGTTCATTGCGTAAGTGAGTAAAATTGCACGTTTTCGCGCCTTTTCGAGGTTTATTTTTGGTCACGCAGCGTGACGATAGTCGTCGCATATTATATTATAACTACGGTATTAAAATATTTTTGATTTATGAATGTTTAAAAATAAACGCGTAAAACTGTAACCAACCAACAGCCGAACACGAATACATTTCGAAATGTGTACGCTTTTTTTTTTTTATGTCGAGAGAGACTCGAACATTCTAACCATACGAGTGTTAAACGAGTTAAATGAGAATACGATTGTACAACGATTGAGGACGGAACCCTTACGGTAACGATTCGAGAAGTATTTATTTTATTTTTTTTTTTTTTTTATTACTCCGAGAACGAATTATAAAACCGAAAGTGTGAGCATTGTTTAAATAATTGGATATCGGCGGGATGTTAGGTACAACTGAGCAAAACGAAATTTCTTAGTCAGTGAACACCTATAATACCGTTCTCACGTTAATGACGAGCTATCGCCCTCCGGGGAAATTGGGTTCATTTTCATCTTAAAACGATTATATAAACTATAATAATATCGTTGTAATGATAATTGCTTTTGGATTCGTAGCTGTTGCGTTACCGAGAAAACTACGAAAAAATAATGTTTTTTTTATTATCATCGTTTTTAATTGCGGTAGATTTTTCAAAAACAAATATTTTTTTTTTTTATTTTAGATTCTAAGTGGAGCGAAAAACCTTAGGGTTTTACAAAGATTTTTTTTTTTTTTTCCTGTAGACAGCTTTTCTACCAGATATCACGCTCCTGATTTTAAACGTAACATCTGCTGAAAGGAAATAAATATAAGGAGGTACTTTAGGAAGGCCATTTTCGATTTTCTCAAGGCTTTTGCCAGAAAATGAGAAAAACCCAGAATAAATATGGGAAAAGTGGGAAAAACTTAGAAAAAGCGGGAAAACCGGTACAATAAATAAATATTACTAAAGAAATTATTGAACGCGTGTTTATTTATTTTACCATAACAGTCATATAATGGCTACGAAGCATCATTATCGATTGAACTCTGTTCAAAATATACGTAGACCATTTATACGCTATAGTGATTAAATTTTATTTGTCCCCTTTTACAACGAGGAATTAACTAATTCTTCGGAGTCCGCGAAGACGCCTTGGCTGTTGTCACCGACGTGCGGTTGAGTGTCCGCGTTTCAAATATCACTGAATGAACGAGACGTCCGAACATTTTCAAAACTGTTATCAAATGCACACAATTATATACGCAACGTGCAACGATGGGGATTGTATGATATCGGATATTAATTGATAATTATAATTGCGCAGTGTACAATACACACATAAAAAAGCGATTTCTGTAATTAGATAAATAAATTTGACTGAATTACTGTTTTGAATACGATCGTTAGTTACAGTTAGTCGAAGGTTATCGTTGCAGCGGTCAAGGTATTGCGACAATTTAATTTCCGTTGAAAACACAATACGGTGTTCAATGTCGACCGTTAGTAGGAACTAATCAACGGAGTTTCATGTCGTTTTTAGGGAGCAGTGGGCAGGTGCGGTAATTTGTTTTTTTCGATGGGGTAGTTTGTCCGTTAACCCTATCGACACGGATTTTTTACGAACAAAAAGTGAGCGTGACGGGAAAGACGATAATCGCGTTTGTTTCCAATTCGGTCGGGTTCAATTAAAACGCGGGTGGCGCGTTAATATCACTGATCACAGTGCCCCCTCGGAGATGCCCTAACCGCCGTCAACCGCCGTAACATTGCAATGAAATTCAACAAGCGCGCGTACCCCCTCTCCCCCCCCCACTATGGTTTTCGGCGGACGCGGCGCGTGACGTTCGGTTTTCGGATATTCGGTTCCGTTTGTTTCGCACGGCGAACGCGTGTCGCTCGACGTAGGCGCGTAAACGCGGCGCGTGCGCTGCGCGGTCGGCGTGGTATTCGAGCATTTGTTTCTCCGCCGCTTTATTGTTTGTCCGTTAAAGGCATTACGGGCGGGCAAAGGCGAACTCGGGACGTTATTATAAATAAATTAGCGCGCGGACGTCAGTAGAGACCCGGGCCCGGGGATACGCGCACTGCCGGCGAGCCCGAAACGGATACTCGTCACGGAGTCCGCGATTAGCTTTTATACGCGTGCGGTTTCGGATTACGGACGCGGTACCGTGACTTCGAATTTGCCGATTCCGTCGGGACGCGGAACGTCCGTTACGTGCCGTTTTCGGCGAGAAGCGCGACGCGGCCGTGCGCCGTCTACCGTCCGGATCGGAACGCGCGGACAAATTTCGGCACATTTGCCCGGCAGTCCGGGGCCGCTGCGGCGCACCGTCGTGACACGTTTCCGGGCTGGGACGGTCGACATAATCCGCACACGATCCGTTCGGTTTTTTTTCGTTTTTTTTTCCATCACGTTCCGGCGATTCTTAAATTCATCGCGACTTTCCAACAACGGTTCCGTTGGCCCGTCGCGGTCGTACGCACGAAACCACCTCGGGTTCGTGTTCCGGTTGTCGGAGACGATTGGGTGTACCGAGATGAGATAGATTTGAACTTTTAAAACCCCTTTTCGGGCGCGCGCGTCCTCAATGAAAGTTATTTTTTTCCCCCGAACGGAAACGACTATTCGCGATTACCGGATCCCTCTCGACAATCATCCGGGTCAATTTAATGCCGTTTAACGTGAACATAGTGTGGTCCACGACGCCTACGGTTTTTTTTTTTTACATCAAAAATTTCAAACGAGAAATCCAGTGTGGCCAAACACGAAGCCATATAAATTGAATTCGGCATCGGAGCCGCCACAGATAGCGGCTATTTTTTTTTTTTTACTTTTGTATTTTATGCGTAACGTTTGAGCGCGGATTTTCTAGGTGGCGCATAACGCGACCTAGCGGTATACCGCGACTGGGGGGGACTGACGGGCCGGTCGCAAACAACAACGCGGTATCCGTCTCCTGAAACGCGGACCGCGCGTAGGAAAGCGCCGCTCGACGGCCGCGCGGTTTTTATTGCGAGTTGTCGCGGTAAACCGGAAATAACGGCAAGCCTTTTGCGAATAGTGGGGTCCGCGGAGTGTGTCGGGCAAAACGTCCCGCCACCATTGCCCGGCGGTGCGCGACCCGCGTAAAAACATTCGGAGACGCCGTCGCAAAGACGTCGAACATCCCGTCGCGGCGCCGGGAAACCCGGGTGAGCGTCGTCGCCCGGGGGCCGGAACAATCGGTGCCGCCCGGAACCGCGAACGCGCGCCGCACCAACACGCCCAGAGATGGCCAGCGATTAAACGCGAACCGTTAACGTCGGCCGGGACCGAGCACGCTCGCCCGCACTCGTTCGCCTCGTCTGACGCAATCGCGTATTGCGTCAGACTCGCGAATGCCGTAACCCGTTGATCGGTCCGCGCACGCACGCCCGTATAATACGCCGTGTACAATATAATTATATATAATATAATAATATAATTATATATAATTATATATAATATAATAATATAATTATATATAATATAATAATATAATTATATATCATAACATAATAATGCGCGCGAAACGCCCCCCCCACACGCCCCGCGCTCCGCCCGTCGTCTTATATCCGAGTCTTGTATCGCGTGCGTCTGCGTGTATACGGGGCGCGCGGCGCGACAACCGCCGCGGCACACGTGCGCCCCGTGTGTTTTTGCGTCACGTCGGTTTACCCCGGTGTGTCGCATCGGGGTTTTTGTCGTTATTAATTTTATTGTTTTTTTTTTTTTTTTTTCCATTATTATTATTATTTTCGGAGGAGAAAAAAAAACACGGTAAAACCGCGTAAAACCCAACGTGTTTATATAATACGCCGTATTATGAAAAATAATTGGCGGGAAAAAAAAAAACAAACCGCACACTGCGGCGAATTTTGAACCCCACCGTTATCCCGTCCGTTTTTCGATTATAAAAACGTTCGATCGAATTACGTTTTTAAAGTGAAAAAAAAAAAAAAAAAAAAAAAAAAAACTAAAGTAATATTTTTACGCATCTCGTTACTAATATTTTGTTAACGTTTTCGAGTTGATAAACTTACTACCCGTTTACATTGCACTGCAGCCCGACGAACAGCGTAATATTTCCGTGCGTACTCGCGTACACCGTCGTCGATCGCTTCGTTTAATATTTAAAATCAACGTCTTGGTAATACGGAAAATTAATATACCTACCCATATGATAATATTTGACAGAAAGTATGGAGATAAACAAAACGGGTCGGCGGAGCGCACTATCGGCGCGAGCGTGTTGTAAGTTCTCTCCGGGTTCTCTCGGTTTCCAGACGTCTTTCAAACGATACACATTCAAACGTGTGCAAAGTAAACGGAAGAGCTAAAGTAAACGAATATAAAAAAAAAAAAAAAAAAAAAACAAAATAAATAAACGAATCAATGCGTCGCCCTGAGTTTCGCGACACGACAAACATTTTGTTTACGCGGCCGGTTTCGGATTAAAAATCCATCACCGGTCGAAATGCGAAACGAGATCGAACACGAAAATTCAAACGCAAGAATAAACGCGGTCGCCGTGCGGTATGAACCCGGACGGAACGGATTTCGAACGGTCTCGCGATAACAACGACGTGACCGCGCCGACCAGCCGTCGAGACGTCGGCCGCTAATCACGGCGACGGCGTCGGCGAACGTTCGCCGTCCCCGCGGGACCGTCCCGAAATCGGCGCGCCCGGCCCGGCACCGCTGCCGCGTTTCAGGCCGTCGTCCCGCCGCCGCGGGTCGACGCCGCGCCGCCGGTACACCGGGCCGGGGCGCCGCGAACGTACGTTGAAAACGTCGCGGAAACCCCGCGGCTTGTATGCGTTACCGCACGTCGCACCGGTGCGTTCAACGTTCGAATAAACGCAACGGGCGGTGACGGAACGCCGTAAACGCGGCGTGGTTCGCGGTCGGTGTTTTTCATTATCCGCTTACCGTGAAAACGGCGACAAGGGTCCGGGTTCCGGATCTCTCGTAGCGCGGGGGGTATGGGGGGGGGGAGGTTCGGCGGTTTCTAAGATAGCTGACGGTCGCGCCCACCGGGAACTCCGCCGGACGCGCACCGTACACGCGGACGCGCGGCTTCTCGCCGCGATTACATTGCCGCGTCGCCGGAGTATTGCGTTTTTTTTTGTTTTTTTTTTTGTTTTCCGGATCTCGATTGTTTATAGAAAACGGGCGGCTCTAGAACGCTACGGGATTGCCGTCATTTGTTCGTGTCGCCCAGTGTTGCCGGCGGCGAAACGGCTGCTTTTGATTATCAAACCGCGCCTTGTTACCGATAATTCCATAAACAGACGACCGCGCATCGGTCCAAATAGATTTCGGTTGTGGACACATCCGGTTCCCGTCGACCCGTCGACGGGAGACATTCTACTTTTGAGTTCGGACGAGGGGCACGTACGCCGACCGCCATTCGCGTGGCGTCCCGACGTGGTTTTTTTTTTTTTAACAGATCGACCCTCCCCTATTATAATAGACGAGTGAAACGAATACCGAAGAATCACGTCCCAGTTCTCGACGAAATTCACTACCGGACACCGCCTATATAAAGCCGATTTTACGAGCTACAGCACGATTATGCACTGGTCGAGAAATAATTAACAGACACACGGAAAAAAAAAACTACACACACACGCACGTCGTAGTACAGTAAAACTATAAAAATCCCCTTCTTTCAGAATAAAAAAAAAAAAAAAACTTTTTTTTTTTATACGGTTATTTCCGTGAAATAGCCTACAATAATAATTGTCAATTAAACATTTGTGTAGTACTTGTCCGTTAGTCAGAACTCGGAATTATATTCCCATAAAATGACGAAACGTTTTTTTTTTATTTTTTTTCCAACCGTCTCGGGTGATCGTTTTAGAGAGAGCCTATTAACGAATGGGATCAGGAGAGGACAATACTAACATTTATTTTTTTTTTTTTTTTTTTTTTTTTCAATTACGATAATAATATATTCGTATAAAATGTTCAC